CCTGCAAACAGTTGAACACAACTTGCCAAAGACCATGCCGACCAATCGCCAGACATCCCCAGGGACTGTCAAACGACACCAGCATATCAGATCTCTACATTCTAGATGGTTTCTATCCGACGGTCGAAGGCCCTGGGCGGTCCTTCAGGGCATGCGATACGTGCCAACCCATGGGGAAATACAGCCAATTCAATGCAAATGAAAGCATGTTTGCCAACTGACTAACACACACACACAGCTTACACAAACAAACAAACAAACAAACAAACAAACAAAGAAACAAAGAAACAAACAAACAAACACACAAACAAACAAACAAACAAACAAACAAACGAACAAACAAACAACACAACACAACACAGCACAGCACAACACAACACAACACAACACAACACAAATAAACAAATAAACAGAAGACAAAAAGCACGCAAACACGCCGCACACACACAAACACCAACTCTACAAATGGTTGGTTTTTGACAATCTCATTGTTTGTCGAAGGCCATCCTCTTTATGCTCACATTCTCATCACGGAAAGGCAGAAAGCCTTACCCTCCGCCGCCGCATTGTAAAGGGCGACATGCAGTTCGGTTTGGACAAACCACCTGCAACACCTTTACGACTTCTCACATCCTTTCGGTCGAAGGTGCCAAACGTGTCAAAGAGATTGTAGATATACATTGCACGCGTCCATCTCCCAAACATTGATGGACTTCCCTGGTAAATTATGAAACAACCAGATCGCCAAGGAATCACCATCTTTCGACTGGCCTCAGATGCCCTGCCAAACCAGTGATTTAGTGGAACCTACCGCTAAACCCTAACCTAAAACCTAAGGAACCTAGTGGAAACTACCACTACAAACCCTAAAAACAACCTAACTTACTTACTCCCCAAAAAAAACACGGACGCCCGGGAGCCATTTTTCTCCCTGAGCCAAAACGGACACCCTCAGCCGTCCCCCCCCCCGGGAGCGTTCGCCGCTGCTTTGCCGCCGCGGCGCGCGCGGCGTTGGAGGGCACTTTCTTGGGATCCAAAAACTCCACGGCGGCGAAGCGGTGCTCGCCCAGCCTCGAAGCGAAGCGCTGGAATCGAGTCCAAGCCCCACGGAATCGAGGAAGGGAATCCAAAATGAATCCGTTGCCATGTTGGGACACACCCTGTCCTCTTTCGAATCACGCCAAGTTCCTACCACCACCAGCCTGCCGCGCACATGGGGGGAACTCCAGATGTGGATCATGTACATGTGTATGTGTATGTGTATATATATATATATAAATATACAAATATACATATTGATGGATAAGATTGCAGCATATAGAACTGCCCACACCAAGTAAGATTCATCGCATATGTCATCCGTGTATGTCCGTCAATATCTGAAAACCCAAATAGGCGTGTATATATATACACATACAACAAAAAAAACATTCTCGAAGCATTCCATGTACATGCATATGTATGCAAATGAACAAACAAACAAACGAAAGAACGACCGAACAACTGAATGAATGAATGAATGAATGAATGAAATGGAATGAATGAAATAAATGAATGAATGAATGAATCAATGAATGGATGGATGGATGGATTAATGAATGAATCAATGAATCAATGCATGAAGAAACAAACACACGAATGAGCGAATGCATGCATGCATGTGCATGCATGCATGCATGAACGAATGACTGAATGAATGAATAAATGAATGAATGAATAAACGAATAAATGAATGAATGAATGGATAGATGAATGAATGAATGAATGAATGAATGAATGAATGAATGAATGAATGAATGAATGAATGAATGAATGAATGAATGAATGAATGAATGAATGAGGGAATGAAGGAATGAATGAAGGAATGAATGAATGAATGAATGAATGAATGAATGAATGAATGAATGAATGAATGGATAGATGAATGAATGAATCAATGAATGAATGGAATGCATGGAATGAATGGAATAAATGGGATGGATGGATGGATGGATGGATGGATGGATGGATGGATGGATGGATGAATGGATGGATGGATGAATGAATCAATGAATGAATGAATCAATGAATGAATGAAGGAATGAAGGAATGAAGGTACAGTACCTATTGGGTACGTAGGTGCGTATGTAAGTAAGTACCTCCGTAGCTTGCCTGGTACGTAGGTACGTAGGTATGCAGGTATACAGGTAGGTAGGTAGGTAGGTAGGTAGGTATGCAGGAAGGTGGGTAGGTAGGTGGGTAGGTGGGTAGGTGGGTAGGTGGGTAGGTGGGTAGGTGGGTAGGTGGGTAGGTAGGTAGGTAGGTAGGTAGGTACGTAGGTAGGTACATCGATTTGGCCGCCAAAGCGAACATCTCATCCTAACGTCCCGATTGCCGGGTCGCTGGTACACCACCTGCTGGCTCACGTGTCGGCTGGTGGGGAAGCAGCAGGGCACGAAGGCGAAGCCTGCGACCTGCGCTCCGTTTCGCCGAAGAGTCCAGGGCGGTTGCTTCATTTTGTCTTGTTTAGGTGTGTGTGTGTGTGTGTTGTGTGTGTGTTGCGTGTGTTGTGTGTGTGTGTGTGTGTTTGATTGCTTGTTTGATTGTTTGCTTATTTGTTTTTGCTTGTTTGTGTGTTTGCGTGTTTGTTTCTTTGTTCGTTTGTTTGTTTGGTCTTTGGTTGTTGTATGCGTGCTTGTTTGGCTTTTGGTCGATGTTGTTGGGTGTTGCTGGTGCTTGGTTGTCTTTGGGGTTGTTTCAAAGCCGTTTTCGAGGTATATGTTGGACAAAAGACATAATGAAACCATTTCATGCGGTGGGCATTCCAGTGGGCATGGACACAGTTGCGTAGCAACCTGGGGGTGCCTTCTTTTTCCAAGCCACCCGCCCAGCATCACCAGCATCACGCCAGCGTCACGCCAGCATCACCAGTATGACGGCTTGGGCGGGGACATTCAAAGAAGAACATTCCCCAAGAAAAATCGTCACCAGCCAGCTCGATTGCAACAGCTGCATCGCCACGAGTTTCACACAGCGTGTGAGCAATTTCTCATCTTTGGGACGGCACCAGCCGTGCCCCATCCCTGACACGCATTTTCTTAAAGGGCCGCCGACATCCCAAGATTTGGGTCCCATCAGCCCTGGCCACCCCCAGACAAACCATAGTCCTAAAACGGGAACGATTGGAACAACCCCCTGAAATGGCTGGTTTCTTGTGAGCTTCCGTAAGCTTGCGCAGACCTGAGAGCTCACAGTGGGGCGGGAGTTGAACATGTGGCTAGTGTGTGGAAACCGTCACAACGACAGAAGACTAGCGCATCATTTATCGGAGGAGAACCTGCTCGAGTGTTTCAAAGCAAAAGAAGTAGGGAAGGCCCTGGCCAACACGCTGGCCCCACCAGGCTATTGGAGAAGAACGTGAACGTGAAAAAAATGACTTTGAATGGGTTTTGGCTTCCGACCCAACTGCCTGTCAAGATGAAGTGTGAACTATTTCGGGCTGCTTGGCTGCAACCGAAGGGCCTGCAGGAGCGGGAGCAGAGTCGTACACGTACCGGATGCGAGAGCGAACACCATCGGGCAAAACTGCAGGGAAGCCTTCATCGCCTTCTTCATCATTCTCGAGCCCTGGCTCCTGGCCCTCGAAATGTCCTGGGTTGTTGAGAATGCCGGTCCAGCCGAAGATAGCAGCTTGGAGCGGCGTGAGCGGCAGCCACGTCCACGCCGGCAAGGAGTCATCTGCGGCGAGCATGTCAGGGGACAAGCTCTCGTGCCTGGGGACGCTCACATCCACACAGAGAAGGAAGCGCTCTTTCGTGGCTGCTGTGTGTTGGCCTTCCAAGTTCCGCTCCATCGGTATGAGCTTGCCAGGGTGCCCGTTACCAAGGAAGGAGAGGCTTACGTGCTGTGTCCTGGAGGCCTCGTATGAAGTAGACGTTCTCGTGGCTCTCTTGGTCTTGCCCCGAGCAAGCAGCGTGTTGAGGGTGCTTGCATGGGCGTTCACGGATGAGTCCTTGGCCTTGTCACCTCTGGAACCCAACAATGACAAGCTCTCCAAGAACTCATAGGCCTCGTCCAAGTTGAAGGCCTGGCCAAACCAAAGACGTAGAGCCGCCTTCTCGTTCTTGTTGCATCCACCGTGAATCTCGACCTGGGGAAAGTCGGCGCTGCACCTGTAGAAGAGCTCTGTCATGGTGAAGCTTTGAAGACACATGCTCTTGGTTTGCACAGACACATCTGGCAAAGGTTGCTCGCCCACGCCTTCTGCTCTCACTCGCTGAGCGACCTTGGCTGCTTCTTCCTTGGCCATGACCTCAACGAAGTCGTCCGCAGTCTCAAACATCAGTTCGACAGCCTGGAAGAGACGGGACTTCCCCCTTTGCGCGGGAGCCATGTGAAGAACCATCAAAGCCAAAGGGGATGGTTTCTGCCACAACTTGACGCTGGCCCCGTTGCTCAAGGCAGGCATGGACCCGAGAAAGAGCATTGCGGTGGCGTACAGCCCTTGGCACGTAGAAGTGGCAATCGGCAGGAGGAAGTCATACAAAGCTTTGGGCAGGTGGTCCGCAGCGTGAAAGTTATCCTGCACGACATCCAGAGCCGCGCGGAAGAGACGGTCGATGTTCCTCTCTGCAAGCGCATCGTTGCTGTGAGGCGGCATGGCAGGCACTGGTGCCTAATTTGCAGACTTGCGTGGCGTCCTATACAACTGGACCGCGCTGTGGGAAAGCTGCTTGCTGCTGTGTGTTGGCACGTTCGCACAAATGCCCGGCCTCAAGCCGGGCAACCGCTTGAGGAGAACAGCGTTTGCAGCGCACTCTGCAAGCAATAGCAAAGCAAGAGAGACGCGCCAAGGACAATGGCCAACAAGCTGGCCAATTCTCGCCGCTTTGTGCTGTCGGACAGAGGCCAAGAACCTAGACACTCAACTTCACTGAAGCACACGCGCGACCAACGAGCTGGCCACAGCAGCCTTTTTGACATGGGAAGCAGCTTGCGTCTTGCAAGCGACGGCGTTGAGCTCAGGAATCCGCCTGCCTGTCGCTATGTGCCAGCGCTTGCCTCTTGCGCTTCTTGTCGGCCACACGGCGCTTGTCGCCTAGCGCCTGTAGCCGGGTCATGTTGTGCACATCAGCGCACTCTTGCATGACAAGCTGAGCAAACCATGGACTGTAGTGGTGAAAGCAGTGGCCTAAAGGACTGAATTGGGCGTTTACGGACTCAGCAATCTCGGTTGGGAAGCCTTTCAGGATATCCTTGTTCTGCTGCAAGCTGGGCAGGCAAGTTGTCTTGCACCACTCCCCACAGTGGCCCCCGCTGTGGAAGTCGTCGATGATGAAATTCAGGTCAGCCAGCTTGCCCGCCATGACCGACGTCCGCCGCTCCTTGAGGCACATGCTCTTAAGGTGACAGGCGTCATCGTGAACCATGGTCTGCAAGCGTGGGAGTCGGTGAGCCACCTGCGCTGCAAAGTGGTACCTCTGCGACAAACTCTCTGCACCAATGATCTCGAGCATGTCAAATATTAGGCCAGACTCCGAAACAGCAAGAAGGTAGCCAGCACTCCGAGCAGCTGCGTGGGCCTCTTTTGGCGACTCCTTGTGCGTGTTGCAAGAGCTCCTGCGTTTCGCTTGGGCTGCAAAAATGCTTTGGAGGCGTTAGCTCTTAGCTTTGGGCGCAAGACACAGCCATTCTTTGCCAAAAAGAAACTGTTGCCGAGGAGCTGTTGCTTTGGCCCAGCAGAATGCCAAGAAGCCAGAAATGAGCGCCGAGGGCGCGGCCGCATGCCGGTCCACTTCTGCTTGCGGGCCTGCACCCTTCTCTCACGGCGCCTGCGTATGTTGGCATCAGCTTGGCGGGCAAAGTGTTGAGCTAAGACATCCTCCTTGATGGTGCAAGCGGGCTGCCAGCCACGAAATCCAGAGATTTGCACTTCAAAGTGACAGACGTCGCTATCCTGGTGCAGAGCTTTCCGAAGGCGATGATGAGAAACTTGCGAGGATGGGTCAAGCGGGGGAAGTTGCTTGTCCCGCGCAGCTGCATGTTGCTTGCAGAGAGTGTCCTTGCCATGTGGGCGGGAGCTGCACCCACGCAGCAGCAGCTTACGCAGATGTGGGCTTGGCACAACTTCGGCGAACGGCATGCCGCAGGTTCGCCTGTGCAACTTGGCGTTGCCATCGATGGCCAAGATGTCTGCCCGATCTCCAGAAGAATCCAGCTGAGCAAGTCGCCTGCCAGGCAACGCGGTTGCAGGCTCTGGCTTTCACAGCAAGTGCCCCAGCTGCAAAGCAAGTCCCCATTGCAAGTTGCCAAAAATGGGCCTGGTCGAGACCTAGGTTCCTGCAAAATGTACAAGCGGAGCCCGCAAACAACAACAGCAGTTGCCCCCGTGGCACATGTCCGACCGCCCTATACAAAAGGGGTTCCGACACGAAAGTTTCAGACACAGACTTGTCTGTAATCTGCAGGGCTGAAAGCGGTAGCTTGAGAGGAAACCCTGTCCGCGCCTTGAGAACATAAGAGGCTCATACCATTTCCAAGCTCCAGCTATGAGCGCCTCCAAAGGACCATTCAAAGCCTGCTTGTGGAAGTCCTCGTTCACCCCGGCCTCAACGGCACGGCGACACAAGATTTCACGGGCCCAAAGTTGGCGAAGCTGCTCCCGAAGACGAAGCCGAACATGAGCTTGCAGCAGTCGCAGCAAGGTGGCCTCTGCTTGAAAACTCGCCCTCTGCAAGTAGAGGCGGTAGCGCCATCTGCGGAGCCAACTGCGAGCTATCCCGTTGGGAGCTGACAGAAAAAAGTATTTGGCGTTGGGGCAATCCACCTGCTTGTGCTTACGACCCCGTTTGCCAATCTGCGGCTGGAAGAAGGTGACGAAGCCACACCAGTATGTAGCCCTTCGGCAAGCACGAGCACAAGCTCGGGACAGGTGCCAGGTCACAAAGCTGTCAGGCTCGGCGATGACATGGGCTTGAACAGAGCCTCGTGCGCCAGGCTTCGCCTGGAGCAAGGGAGAGCGACAATGTGGACACACTGTTCTCCCCGAGGTCAAAGTCAAGGCCCAGGCGTCGCCCATGTGCGCAGATCGGGTCTGGAGAAGAACAAAGCTGAACTGTGTCACTGCGTTGTGGGGCACACCCTGCTCGAAAAAACTGCTCATGCTGGTACGTGCAATGTTCTCGGGCGCGGGGTTGGCTAGACAAAGGCTAGCTGACACGCACAACAAGCTCAGCACGTGCGCAAAAACGCTTGCTGACACCCATCACAAGCTCACCGTGCAAATAGCCTGGCATGGGAAGGATGGCAAAGCTTTTTGGGTGGACGGCAAGCCAGCAAGCTTGCCTTCAGCTGAGGCAGCGCAAGATTTGTGCTAGTAAGCTGGCCCTTACAGAAAGGCAAGTCAGAACTTGAAGGGAACGAGCTGGCAGTGAACAGGCTCTCGGCTTGCGTTGCGTGACCAAAGAGCTGGCCTTTGCAAGATGGCATGCTGAAGAGGGAGGTGGCCGGCGCCGGGGGCCGGTGGCCGGTGGCCAGTGGCCGGTGGCCGGTGGCCGGTGGCCGGTGGCCGGTGGCCGGTGGCCGGGGGCCGGGGGCCGGTGGCCGGTGGCCGGGGCCCGGTGGCCGGTGGCCGGTGGTGGCCGGGGGCCGGTGGCCGGTGGCCGGTGGCCGGCGGCCGGCGGCTAAAAAAGACTATTGTGGTCTTTGGATATATATATATATATATAAACCAGGAGGCCTGACTGGATTTGATGGCTAACTGCCTGTAGACTTGGAGCTGGTTCTGGTGCATCCAATTTTGTGTGTTGACACACAATCTCCCAGCTCCCAATGGTAGCAAAACGGGACCCGTTCTGGCGGTTGACCATTTTGGGTCAAATATTCATGTCCCCCAAATTAAGTTTGGTGAGTAACCCCGTGTCCCAATGGTATTTGGTGAGTCTTACAGTAGATGACAGTAAACATCGAACGTTGGCGTGCTTTCCTGAGGGTACCCTTTTCAGGTTGGTTTACAGGGATGCCAGCAGGAACACTTTGCTTTTCAGGGGTCGTCCCTATTTGGGTATGTCTCAAAACAACAATTCCGGTTATCCTTTTGATTCCACCTCTCTTAGTCCTAGAAGCACTTCTGAAGATTTCCAAACACACACACACACACACACACACAATAAATCCAGAAATAGGCTTCATGTTGGAAAGCGAGAGGCCTGGAGGCACTTCTATTTATATATTCATGCTGCATCTCTCAGGCTTCTGCCAAGTCTTCTAATTGCTATGAGCATTCCACCCCTTTCTGTTTCGTACGTTGGCAATTCTCTGGAGTTAACATGAAAGTGAAAGGCACTGAATAGGAATGCTCTCTCTCCTCTCCCTCCGTACTCAGCTTCGCTCTAATTGGTGGTTTGGATTGGTGCTTTGGTGGTCAAGGAGTTTCTCATTTGCCCTCTCCAAGAGCCATTGGCTCAAGTCCAAATCCCAAAGCAATCCACATCGCAGATACCTGCGCAAATGTCGGCTTCCCGTTTTCCGGGGGTCTAGGGAAACCCAAACAAAACCCCATCCAAAACCCCCCCACCCAAAAAAAAACAACAACGACCCCTCCCCCGCAGCCCGCCCGGAACTTCCCAACCAAAACCCCAGCCTCCGAGTTCTCATTGAAGAGCTGCGCCGCGCGGATGCCCAAGGTGTTGCACAAGTGCACCCCGCAGGCGAAGACCGGGGCAGGCCTCCGTCTTGCGAAATCACTTTGCCGGATTCAACATGCCACCCCCCCCACCTCCCACCCCAACCCTCCACAAAAAAAACACTACAAAAGAACCAAGACCATTTTTGGAGTTCCACCACCCATGGCAAACCCACCCAGCCACAACCACCAAACAAAAAAAACAACAAACAAACAAACAACTGTCCACCTCCCCCCCCTCTTTCGGAGGAGTCTCCAATTTTGGGTGGCCCTCCCTTTCTATGGGCCCCAAGTACCTGACCCCAGGCACACAAGCCGATTTTTGACAAGGCAGGGGCGAGGCAAATGGTTGCAAGTTGTTGGCAAGCACTGCACGCACATTCCAAGCAAGACACTTCAAAAACAAGCATCCCTGGACCGAAAAGAAGCAACGGCACGCGGCCGAGAGAGCGGGCCAAAGATACAACTCACCCACAAACACAATCAAATAGCACTTCCAAAGTCAGTCCAAGTGCCCTGATCTCAGGCTCCCCCTCAGCACGGCGAGCGCGACGCAAAACGCACGAAGCAAACACACGCAAACGAGTCCGAACACGAACCTGAACGCAAGGTTCTCTGACAGGAGCTAAATAATTACTAGTTTACTCCTACAGTCATGACTCAATTTGGTCGTAAAAAGCGAATTGGGTGCTGCTTGATTTGAGAGTACCATGTTATCTGGTGGTTCTTTCAAGACGTCAAAAGAAAATCAACCATTTGAGGTCCACATCCTCAAAAGACACACCCAATTTAATCCCAATTTACGCCCTTTACTCATTCGGAAGGCGTGAGCAGCGTGAACCCGTTTGAAGCCCGGCCTCGGGTCGTTGGACTGTGAGGGTGCGCTCAGCAGGCGCTGCGCGATCTGGTTCAAGGTCGCCTTCCTTGAAAACTCCAGATGTGAGAATGAAACTTGTGAAGGTCTCTCATTGTTGGGGGGAACCTCCTGGGCTTTACATGGACTACAGAAGGAAACCAACCATTTTGAGTGTCCCCAAAAAAGGCCCACCCATTTCATTGGGCGGCCATTTTAGTGCACGTCCACCGACCACTTTTGAGGGGCGCGCCAGTAAGGTTCCATGGCGATGTGTCAACATTGGGAGACCCAAACAATGGTCGTCCTCGTGAAGAGGGTCCCTCAAACCACACCCACCCTGGGGTTCACCTTTCAAACCCCTCTCGAAGCTCCTTGAATCCCCTAATGGGCCCTGTAATATCCATGAAAACCGCCAAAAAAGGCGGCGTTTAAAGCACTTTTAGGGGTTGCCCGTTTTCCCCAACAGGGGGAAGGACAGTCCGCTGAAGTGGGATGGGGTGGTTCCTCAATTGCAACCAATGGAATCCGGAGCGCCTGCCAAGGGAAAACTCTCATGCGAGTCGAGTCTTCTGAAAGCTGGGCTTCAATTCTTGTGCGAGTCGAATCGGTTGCAAAGCCACGATATTTGACAACACGCAGAACATCGCAGGGCATTTACATGTGACTTGCTTTTCATATATGATATTTCCTTTGGAGTTTAGGCTGCTACAGAAACCCAACCCGACCCCAGCTTCTTTTCCGGAAGTCTCATCTTGCCCGAAGAAGGAAACAAAGTCTCGGGGGTCTCTCCTTGCCGCAGCCTTTTCCTATTTTCCGCGCGCAAAGCGCGGCCACGCTCTGACTGAGTGTCTTCTTGAGGTCCACCTTGAGAGTGTACATGTGGATCCTCCAGGGTTGGCGTGTGGGGGATTCATGTGCAACCACTTTGCAGGTGGCTCCCTATCACGCAAAAGTCAGAGACTTTGGAGAAACTCCAGGCACTGTGTATGTGTGTGTATGGGTGTGTGGGTGGATGTGGGGGGGGGGTGGCGCTGTTCTGGCAAAACTTTCTAGAGTCCCCCTCTGTTGACCCATACCCAAGCATCCATTACCCTCAAACCGCAAACCCTTGGGGCCGAGGGCACTGGAAAAGAGACGCCGTCCTCCAGGGCTGCTTGTAGATGTGTTCAACGGAGGTTGTGCCGTTGGAGTTGTCAACCCCGCTGTTGGGGTAGCTCATATCCTGACAGAGGCAACTGAGTAATTGGGCAGAAAAAGGAAACCCTGCGCCGATCAAGAGCATGCCCTCCCCAGCATGGTCCAAAAGTAGCCACGGCCACATCTCAAAATGGCCGGCTTCCTTTCGCTTTCCCTTTGAACAGAACCCAGAGCGAGGTTCTCCATTTCAGAACTCCCCCCCCACCCAATGCAACATGAGACGTGAATCACAAGCGCATTCTTTCGACTTGAGAGGGTCGCTCGGTAAACCGCCTTTCGGTACCTTTAGGTCAGCTCCCAGTTGCAAACGGGTTGCGTGCATTTCGGTGGCTACCCCGTCCGTATCCAACCAACAAAAAAGGGGGGTGTCTTTCCATCCGTTGGGAAACCACAAAAAACCATTTGGGGCCAGTGGCATTTCTTCGGAGACGCGGAACCACCGCTTCACCTGGAACGCCAAAACCCTCAGTTTGGGGCTTCCTTGGGAACAATGTGCGGAGCATGCGCCAAAGCGCCGGCCGGTTTGCTAGGGGCACCAATGTGATTTACCATAATTTGGAGGAATCCAGCTAGCACAAACAAGCAAACAAACAAACCAAAACAAACAACCCAACGCATGTTGACCGCTCCCTGCTATTGACACCGGAGTAACATCTGGGTGAACCGGCCTGGGCTGGGCTGTGGATTCCAAGTGTTTCGGCAGCCCCGGTTTATAGAGGCTCCGGAGTTTTAGGTACCAGTCACTCGCTTGTTTTGCCGTACTGTAGCCTGGCAGGGGTGCAAGTCTGGTCACGTTTCACAAGAGGGATATCAATCGAAAGGGTCGAAGGCAACGAGCGCGGAAACCTAACAACAGAAGGTTGCCGAGTCTTTCATTCCAAACTGATAGAACCTGTACTGCCCAACATGAAGTCACAGCAAACCTCAACAAGAACATTCCTCTATGAGGATGTGTTGGATTCCGTGTTCAGGAGGGTATCTCCTTAAAAAAATGGCACCCGTGTTGTTTTTTCTTTCTTGGTTGGTTCCAAAAGGGAACCGGGTGTCTGGGTCCACGGTCACACGGTCACAAAGCTCCACTCCCCCCCCCGGGGTCCATGAGGCAAAACTCCTTGACCTTCTCCGGCGGCAAAAGCTCCGAGAGGAACATGGACCTCGAGATGCAAACGTTTGAGGTCCCGGCAACTTTTGATATTGCTTTTCAAGGAAACCAAAAGGAAAACCACGATTTTGTGGGGATCCCTTAAAAAATGACTTACCCATTTTGGATCATTTTGGTGTTTCACCCTGCTAACTTGGGACAGTGATCCATCGGGACGAACTCGCCGGAGAGAGGACCGAATTGATGGAGGGTATACGGTGTCCGCATCCACGAAGCATTTCTCGGGCGACCAAACGAGAGAGGAACCGCCCTGTGGCGCCGGATTCATCTTGAGGATCCATCATCGGAGAATCACATCATGGGCGCATCCCTAGAAGGGCAACATGGGCCATTGCTTTGGGAAGCGGAAACACACCGAGCTATCCGCAACCAGGGTACCAATAATCTGTCAGGAGTATGTCAAACAGGATTGGTGTCTTTTCTCTTGGCTTCCCTTGAAAATGGCCAAAACCACACCCACCCGCACACACAACACGCACACACAACACGCACACAATGTGAAGCCGGAGGACACCACAGACACCACAGCAACGTTCCAGCAAAGTACGCGCCACAAAAGGAGGACATCAAATACCACACAAACATCAAATACCACACAACAAGAATGCATCCGGTTTGCAAATCACATACCAAAACAAAAGCTCAGTGTCTAAATGTCAGGATTTCTGGATTTCTTCATGACTGGAACAAGTGCTTTTCCCGAGAACTGGTGCGGTTGGATTCAAAACCTCGCCAACATGTCTGGTCAAAGTGCCAACCCCTTGAATTCCGGATCCACATAAATGGAATCGATCCAACCCCCATCCGAGCTCAAAAAAATACGATGCCCCTGAAACCAAACAGTGTGAACGCAGAAACACATGTCTGGTATGCCCAGCGCCCTCTTAACTATACGAGTCTTACATGCTTGGTTGTTCAAAATAACTCCTACTGAGATACCAAGGTGAGGCATACGTATGACTGTGTCATGTTCAAGGGGATTCTCGTGTTACCACACAGAATGGCAGCCCAAAACCTGATGTTCCACCACCGGCGCTTACGAAAACAAGCCAGCGAGCGAGCGAGCGAGCGAGCAAGCCAGCCAGCAAGCAAGCAAGCAAGGCAAAACAAAACAAACCAACAAGCAACCAAGCAACCAAGCAAAAAGGCAAGCAACCAGAGAAACAAAACCAAACATCAATCAATCAATCAATCAATCAATCAATCAATCAATCAATCAATCAATCAATCAATCAATCAATCAATCAAATCAAATCAAATCAAATCAAATCAAATCAAATCAAATCAAATCAAATCAATCAATCAATCAAATCAATCAATCAAATCAATCAAGCAAAGCAAATCAAATCAAATCAATCAATCAAGCAAGCAATAAACCAATCAATCAATGAATCAATGAATCAATCAATGAGTCAATGAATTTGTCAAATAATTAATCAATATATCAACAACACCATGAATCAATGGATGAAACAATCAGATCAAATTAAATGAAATCTAAATCAAGTCAACGCAATCAATCATGTCAAGTCAGATCAAATCAAATCCCATCAAACACATGCAAAGCACTCAATGAACAAATTCCTGGATCCATGGATCAATGGATCATTGGAGCAATGGATCATTGGACCATTGGACTAACGAACCAATAAACCAATGACTCAATAACTCAATGACTCAATGACTCGATGACTAGATGGCTCGATGACTCGATGACTCAACGAACGAACGAACGAACAAACAAATGAAGGAATGAATCAATGAATGAATCAATGAATCGATGAATCAACACATGAATGAAACAATGAATCAATGAATAAATTAGTGAATTAATTGATGAATCAATAAACCAACGAACCAATGAAACAATGAATCAATCATTCAATCAGCAAGCAAGCAAGCAAGCAAACAAACAAACAACCAAACAAACAAGCAAACAAGCAAGCAAGCAAGCACGCAAGCAAGCAAACAAATAAACAATGAATAATAAAAAAACACCAATAAATGACGAAAGACATATCGACAAGCATAAAGAAATAACGAAATGAAGCAATAAAGAAGTACATAACCAAGATACAAAGAAACAAAGAAAGAACAACAATAACTCCTCGTGGCTAGGCATGGCCAGGTGCCAAATTGTACGAGTGGCCAGCCCCAGGGTCCCAGTGCCCGCAAAGATGTCACGAGCGCTTAAGGCCCCTGGGAAAAACAGAAAAATGCGTCCAGACAACGGAAAAATGGAAAAATGGGATTCCCTACCAAACCCAGGGGAAACGAACTTAAAAGGAGTCGTTTCAGCAGATGGAAGTTAAAAAAAAAACTGTCTCGATTTTGAGCCACATCCTTGGGATGAGATATCCGAAGAGATCCCAGTTGGGTGTTTCTCAACATATGTGCCAAGCAACAGCAACAAGGTGGTCCACCATTTGGAGAACCTCAACATTCTTCTGGGCTGCCCTCAGCTCCCCTGCCCAACGTGTCACTTGACTGGAAACTAGCACTAAACCAACCATTAAGCTAAGGCTAATTCCAGTGGAACCGGATGGCTGGAAGCCACCAAGTCATGGCACACGAACGGGATGTCTGATTTTGACCAACTTGGCGCGGCACAGGAAGCCGAAGCCCGCACCCAAATCCAGGATCACAGCCTTTCAACCAATCATTACATGCACCGGGAAGCCATGAAAGATCTAGAGGTAAGAAACCTGGTCACCTGTGTGGTAACTGAAAGCACGGGGGGAGGGGGAGGAACCCTCGAAGAGGTTCTGATCGAAGGGTCCGAGCTGAATTGTTGATGTGCAGCACCCATTTGTGTTTTGAGCATCCATTTTGAAGGAACCTCGGAGACGGTGGTTTTCAAAGGACGCCAAGCAGGAAGCCGCCCATTTTGCCGGGGTCCATAGGGCAATTAAGGTAACCCAGTTGCAGCTGTCATGCTAGTGGACTGCTGTAGGGCTAGTGATGGCACGTACCCTGTCACCAAAGCCTGATGCAAAATAATATTTTCTGCTACACCTTAATTTCTCTTTGGCTTTGGTTTGGTTTGGTGATTTGGAGGTTAGGGGGTGGTTTCCCACTTACCCTCTACAAGAACCAGTGGTTCAATCCCCGAACCGCCAACGCAAGTCACCAACTAAGGGTTGTCTTTAGTTGAGTCTGACCCCAAAATGCCAAATAAAAAAGCACGGGAACAACTACTTTGTTTACCCTAACTCAGTACGGCTTATATGGGTTTGCTACATGTTTCGTTTTCAGGGTACTTCTTTGCGGCTTTTTCAGGAAACCCATTTTGTGGGGTCCGTTAGAAAACCACGCACCCAAATGTTTCTTAGCAATCTAAAGCAGAAAGGCCCTGCAGTGTTGCGTCTGACTGAAATCAGGCGCACGTAGCAGGTGCAGGGAACGAGAGAAAAACAACAAACAAAACATGGTCGATCTGCTTTCTATTGGAGAGTGACTTGCGACTTTATGGTTTTTGTGGAGGCGTCGTGTACCCCCAACCCAAAAAGGAAGAGTAAACCACCCAAAACAAGCGCATAAGTCGACCCTACCTTAGCACGTATGAGTATTCTTAACAAAATGTGGGTTTTGGGTCTGTCGGTGCTTGTCCCGTTGTATGTTGTTGTGGTTGGTTGGTTGGTTGGTTGGTTGGTTGGTTGGTTGGTTGGTTGGTTGGTTGGTTGGTTGGTTGGTTGGTTGGTTGGTTGGTTGGTTGGTTGGTTGGTTGGTTGGTTGGTTGGTTGGTTGGTTGGTTGGTTGGTTGGTTGGTTGGTTGGTTGGTTGGTTGGTTGGTTGGTTGGTTGGTTAATTGGTTGGTTGGTTGGTTGGTTGGTTGGTTGGTTGGTTGGTTGGTTATTTGGTTGGTTGGTTGGTTGGTTGGTTGGCTGGTTAGTTGGTTCGTTGGTTTGTTGGTTTGTTGGCTTGTTTGATTGATTGTTTTTTTTTTTTTGGCTTGTTTGGTTGTTTGGTTGCTTGCCTTGTGCCCCTGGCTTTTCAAGATTGGTCTGGAGTTGCACACTTCACTTCGAAACGCCCCGTCCGCATGGCAACCCCATTCGTACAGAACGTCTTTGGCTTGGTCTCGACTCAAATTCAGCCGTGATCATGAGAGAATCATGTGTTTGTCGAGTCTGTGTATGCGGGACGAAATAGTTCCTTAGTTTGACTGGTGTTTGGGGTAAATCACATTTAGTCATGATAGGGTAAGAAGATGCGTGATTGTCTAGGTCCTCCAGTAGAGAGGTTAGAATAAGGGTACCCTTTTTTCTGCAGTTTATTTCAGTAGGGGAACCCTCCCCAAAAAAAGGGCAAAAGGGCACTACGCGGGAACCTAGTTGTGTCAGGCCCTTGTATTAATGCTTGGCCCCTACGCAAGCTTCAGGCCTTCGGTGAGGAGGCGGGAAGCTCTGCTACCCATTTCCGCACCCGGGCGATGACGGGTGCCGACTCGTTCCTTAGGACCCGCGTTGAGACGATGCGCATTAAATGGCCTGTAGTTCACCAAGGGACACATCAAGAAACTTCAGTGGCAACTGGCAGCACCGAGCTTTTCATGGTCCAATAGGAAACCCGTTCACAAAAAAGCAATTAATTGAGCCACTGGGTCAGTTCCGGTACGGATGAACATGGAACCCCCATTTCGTTCTTGCACTAAGCCTGTTTTTTTTTGGGCGGGGGGTCCTCCAATGGGTGCCGTTTGCATTGGCAAGGGAACAACTCAAGGGCTCACATTCTTCTGGGCACCAGTCAAAACCAAGTCAGGCGCCACGGCAGCAGGTAAGCGACCACCTGTCCCGTTGGATAACGTGCAGAAAACCATAACCTGTAGTACGCACGTTGTGCGATGATTCCAGAAAGCGCAGGAGTTCGCCCATCGAAAGCATGAGCACAATCTTCTGATTTCAAGGTTAAAGAGGTATCATGCGCTCACTGGAAAGAAAACGCTTGCTGGGCATGTCTTAGCCAGACTGTCAGTGTCTTGAAAGATACAGGTCTGTGCCAACGACATGAGGTGCCAATGCACAGGACCAATACTCGGCAACGCGCAGGTTTCGCCGCCCCACATGGGTGTGTCTTTTTGGAATTGGCCCTTGGAGGCTGTTTTAAAGTGACACCCATTTGATAGCCAAGGCTCAGCTCCTTCAGTACACATGGAACCTGGCGCGCGCTATTGCACTGCATGAACTGGTGCAAGGGTGAACTCGGGTGTTTGGCGGCCCCCTGCCCCGCATCCCCGTAACAGCTATCAAGTTTTAGGTGTCAGGATGTATCCTGCACGTGGCATCATGCCAGGAAAATTAATCTTTGAAGGGCCATGCAGCTGCGATGGGTGATTCTCCACAGTCTGTAGATGTTGTGATTGTCATGGTAATCATGGCTCACACCCAAAAAATGCAAAGCACACGGCAGTTCTCTGCTTCCATGACAATAGGATCTGGGATCCTTTTGAACAACCCCATTTTCCATTTTCAACACACCACAGTTCAAGCAACCACAGCGTGCATTTACGAAATCCATGCCCGGCTGCGTTTGGGTCTGCTTTTGTTTGAAGGTGCCCCGTCTTTTAGGGCCTTAGGTTTTGACTGGGAAACCAAAACCCACCAAAAACCCGGTTGCGCCGGGTTCCAACCTGAAAACCGCCGAGCCACCCACATCTCTCAAGCAACGGGCGCCTGGTGCGCCGAGCCCTTGGTCACCTTCATCATGCGACTCCAGAGGCGCAGAGAGAAGTGCTGGTACCAGCGCCCGATGATCTCCATGACCTGCGAGCCAGCGACCCAAAAACTCCGCGGAACAGACGGGGCGGGCGCGCGTTTTCTGCCGTCGGCGTCGTTTTTTTGGGGGAGCCGCGGCGCGCGAAGGCGCACGACATGCGGCGCGGGCTGGCACGACATGGCGGGTACACAAAAGAAGCGCATTCGAACCAAATGCTAAAGTGTACATCATACGTCTGTAGTTGCACCTTACATAAACCCAAATGTGGGTTTTCCGATTAAGCCACGGCTCAATCCGTACATTCTCCTGGCCGGAGTTCTTTTTTGCAGGGCCCAGACGCGACAACCGGACTCTCTCCCGAACACGTACGCGGCCCAAGCCTTCGCCTGCGCCCGCCCGCCGGAACCGGGTGCCGGGTCCGCGCCTCTGCGCAAAGCTCGGGGAAGAGCTTGGCCACGGGAAGCTTCTGCAAGGTCTCCGCTAAGCTTTGGGGAGACCACCGGGAGCCCTGCGCCCCGGGCACGTCCAAAGGCCTAAGCGAAAGTTCAAATCAAAAGCTTCACAATTGGTGGATTGTCGTGAGCGACACTAAACATGTTGTATGCATATATATATATATATATATTACCTATACATATATATATATATATATTAATTTACTTAGTTATTCGTTAGTTAGTTAACTTTACTTGGTTAGTTCAGGGGTGTACCCAAAAAAACAATGCAAAGGACTGTCCCGTACTAGCGTTCACTTGCCTGGCTGGCAATGGTGGCTCATGTATTTGTTGGTCACGTCCTGCTGAAACGGCCACGTCCCAAATCGGAAGAGGGACCCCTGTCGGAGCACCGCGAAACCCAGCTGCCACCCGGGACCCGCTTGCGCCAGGTTCAGCAGCTTGAAATCTGTTGCAAGCTGTTGATGTTGCAGATGCTCCTGCTTAGTGCTTATGGTGCTGATCCTCTGGATGCATACATACATCTATGTAATAATATATATATATATATGTGAAGAACATATATATATATATAGTATCATTTTTTTATATTTCACTAAACAAAAATACCATTGTCCAATGAAAGTGGACATGGGGCCTTTTCAAAAGGACTCTAGTCTTCCCAAACCAATTCTGTCAGCTTCTACGATTGGAGGGAGGGTACCTGATTGAAACAGCACGTAAGGGACGCCGTGGCCAGGTACGCAGTACAGTCTTGTTGGCTTAAGCATGCGTCCAGAAATATTAGCAATAAGGGCCTAGGGGCCTGTTTTGATACCCATGTTGGTCTGCGTGAAAGGGACACCAACAGTAAACAACCCATTTTGGGGCCTCATCTGGATACCTCACAGGTGCTTTGCTGGCAAAACTGACAAATGCCATGCAGCAAAGGCATTGTAGGGGTTGATTTTTCTTGAGCCTTTCTCTGGGTTGGTAAGCTTTCAGGATCCGTGGGTTCGAAATAGGGAGTTTCTCTAGGAATCAGTGTGTCCTTGCCATCTCTGTTGACTGGCGGCAGGGGGCTGTTTCCGTTGCGAACCAACGGAACTCAGGGTCCACCGGAAAACAAGACCCTTAGGCCCTTCCAACTGACTTTGTCTGTGGAGATTGCCGGTTTAAGAAAGTGGGGGAAAAGAACCAGTGTTCATGTTGACTTCCCAACTGCAATTCTCAGCAAACCATGTTTGACTTTTGTGGCCTCCCCCAAAAATAGCCAGCCGGCAAAAACCACAAGACTGACACAGCCAGCCAGCCCCATCTTTCTCGCGGTCTTGGCAGGTCAACAAATCCAGCCCCACATGTTTCTCTGTCTTTTTGGCCAGGCGCGGAAACAAAATGAGCAGAACCGACCAAAACACGTAAAAACAACTAAAAAAACAAAAACACCATCCGCCACCCAGCGCCAAAAGCCACCAGGCGACTCCGGCGGCTGGCAGGCCTCTCCGGTCGCCAGCTTCGGCTCGTAGTCCAAGAGGCCGATGTGGCGGAGGTGCGCCAAGTCCATGGCGATCGCGGGCCGACGGCGCGAGCCCCGGCTCGGGCAAACGCGTCACCTGCTTTGCTTGCTGGTGCTCAGTCGAATGAGGGAATGCACCTGGAAATTCCCTGGAAAAGTTCCGTTTGAGAAATGAATGACATTTCTTGGGATGCTTTGAGGGGAAAATGCAAACCTCAGGGGCCTTGTGTCTGGCGGCCACACCACGGGGGGGAAGGGGGGGCGAAGCTCGAGCGCACATGGTGCTTTGTTGGTTTGTTTGTGAAATGAAGCGTGGCTACTGGTGCTCACAATATATGTTGCACATCTTTTGTTGCAAGCCATGCAAGACAAACGACGGTCATGTGATTGTTGGTGGCAGTGCAAATGCCATTAACGTGATGTAGTGTCTGATATTGGCAAGCCGTTGTGATGCTGCATAATGGCAATATGCAAGTATATCTCAGTCTGTGATGCCAATTGTTATCGTGGGATTGTGATACCTAGCCACGTGAAATAAAATACCTTAGTGCGTGTGGCACACCAATGATATGTGTAAATCATTTCTGCTGCAGCCTGCAGCGAATGGACAAAGCTGCCATACCGTTGCAGCATCCAGGGTTGCCATTGATCCTCAGTTGCAGGTTTTGCAGTTCTTCACTCCAAACTAAAACGGCTGCAAATGGAGGTATACAGGAATCAACTGCATTCCTCCAGCAAGACGCAGCTGTCACAAGTTCAGAAGTCAACTGGAGCATGTTCCCCATAACTCCAACACAAGCAAGCAGCACAACCAATTCACATGGCACAAACAGGGTGGCACAGGGGAAAGGGGGCGGGCTGGACAAAAACACAAAAAACATCTACACTATGTACCTCGGGTTGTTTAGCAACCGCTTTGACATTGATTGCTTGCCAACTCATCATCTTGCACCGCCAGACAAGTCGTACAGCAATCCTCCAGGAAGACTCACGCCTGTAAACCGAAGCCGAGACCCACAAGCATCGCCCCTTTTGCCAACGCCGGCACTTGCAAATCCCCGTCAAGCACACGGCTGCCCATTCCCGCGCTTTGTTTAGTTGGCGGAGTTGTGCCTTCACCTGCCCAGGTCTTCATCTCCACACCGAAGTGGAACGTAGCCCCCGCCCAATAAAAAAACAAATCTCGCAGTGTGGGGCGAAGTTTTGCACTGATCCGCCGTCGCAGGACTGCCCAAATATGTCTGCCTCACGGAAAATGCATCAACTATGTCAGCTGCTAGGGACAAGGGTCCCAGCAAGCTCTCCTCATTGGCCTTGCCCGGACAGAGGGGCCCCTTTATGCAACGACCCTTCCGGATACAGTTGGGTAAAAGCTGGAACACAATTCCAACCCATTGTGGTTTATTCACTCCGCTTGCCTACCGAAAAGGAAATCGTGCCGTCTCATTTCGCACTGGTGTACCCTTCCTCCAACTAATATAGCACTTGTATGCATTCGTAGGAGGGTACCTGGAAGATCCGTGTCCCCTTGGAGGGTCCTCCTGTCAGCTGACCTCATGGACCGATCTCAGGCCGTCTCGTCGGCAAGCCTCGGAAAGCACACGCATCGGTCTGCAGATTCCATCCCAGACAGGATGTGACAAAGATCGAGGGTCCAAATAAACCATTGGGTGGTGGGTCAAAGTTACACCAGGGGAGCGCCTGTTTGAGTCATGGGTTCCATTTACCAGGGTTCCATTTTGGGTACCCATTTTTGACCCACAGCCATTCATCACCTGTGCGACACTGATGAGTTCAATGGCTTTCTGACTGCCGCTGGGCACAAATGGATGCGCGCTCTGAAATGCAGCAGCTCAAAACCAGCAAAACGATTTGGGCAGAGGGGGTCTTCAAAGAAGGCAAGCGCTGGAGATCGCGATTTTAGGTTTGCGTGAAACAGTCATTGCCCAATAGAGCTGGAAAAACGTGGCCAATCCATTTGAATGCCTTGAGAAATAGGCGAAACCAAAACCAAAAGGTTGGAAGTGTTCCGCGACTTAGAAGGATCGTGTTGCATTCCTGTTAAGCAACTGTTTCTATGTGATCCAATCGCAGGGGCCGGATGTCTATCGCGTTGGGTGACCTTTCCTTGTTGTTCGACTTTGCTGGTCGGTTGGAAAGTACAATCTGACCCCCACAAACTTAAAGGCCAAAGATCCAGCCAAATGACTCGCTCCCAAGTTTCCAGATGATTCCAGCACATTTCAGCAGCTTGCAAACTGCAATGGCCAAATCTTCTTGCTGGTTCTCGGCAAAGGGTTCATTCACAAAACCCCTCGAAGGACTCCCTGACGAGCGCGATGCAATGCTCCTGATCCGGGACTCGGGCTGCATGAGTTCCCTCACCAGCTGCGACACCAGCGGCAGCGCTGGAGTTGGGCCCTCCGCGGGTGCCTGGGCTGTTGGACAGAAGGATGGGCCACGAAGTTTGGTTTGATTCACCTGGACCATTGCTTTAACTTGACTGGGTGTGTCCCTTTTGTTGAACCTTTTAGCCAGGAATTACTGGCTCATGTAACACTCTGAGCCCACTTCAAAAACACCTATATTGTTCAAACATGGTTCTGGTTTCTCTTTCAGAAGATCCCTAAAGCCAGGGGCGATTCGAGGTCGAAGCGGGCCTCTCGCACTCCCTGATTGAAATTCTAACGGTACTGATAGATTGCTTTCTGAACATGCAGGGAATTGGTGTGTCTCTCGCTCTCTCTCTCTATATATATGCACATATTTGCTCATGTATATATATATAGATATATATGCTACCCCCGGGTCCCACCCTTGAAGATGCAAAGCAGATCCTTTAGATGCCTCTGCCACAGTGGTCGAATATGTCTTTAGGTAAGGCCTGCCAGAAAGACAAACAATTTCAGTATTTACTGTGCTTTTGGGTGATGTAAACCCAATTTCAGAGTCACCGAGTTTAAGCATTAAAGTGTGCTTGCAGTTGCACGTGACTGTATTTGCGCAACTCAATGCCCGTTCTAAATCTAGTATTGATTGTCAAGACTGAATTTTGGATTCCCAGTACTCAATTCAGTATTGCCAATTTTTAAATTCAGCATTGCCAAGACTTCATCTTAGATTACCAGTACTTAACTTAGTATCGCCAATTCTTAATTTAGTACTGCCTATCTTACCTTTGTGCCAAGACTTCGTCTTAGCCTTTGAGCCGGGAGGGGATTAGATTGAACCACTCAAAGCTCAAAGACTCAAGACTCCATGGGAAGCATCTACTTCTTGCCATCCCACAGGTGCAGCACGGGTAACGTCTCTCGCTTCAAGAGCCCTTTGCCAAGGTCGGAGCCCCGACATTCAACTGGACGGCACGTTTGAGGAACGCAGAATGCGGCGCGCGACATGCGGTATCACTATGTGAAACATGATCATGCCCTTCCGTTGGCTTAAGGCGCCTCATGACATGGACCACCACGACCTACCAACTCCCTTTGAATCCTTGAGCGGAAAACCGCCTTAGGCAAAAGACATCCTTTAGTTCTCCTTGAAAACCACAGTTGAGGAAAAAAACAAACAGATCATGTCACGCAAGTTATTTGACAATCTGGTGCTAGTTCTCACATGCTCGCGCTCTGGCCTGTGGCTGCGGGGCGACAACGATGACCTCCTCCTGCGGGTGAAGCCATTTGAGGCCGTAGCTGAATAGAACACCTAGGTTGATGTTGGATCCCTGCAAAGAGTTCAGATGATTGAGCGGAGACATAGTCATCATAAGTTGAAAGGCTGAAAGGTCGAATTGAGAAACGAGAGACTCGCATGAAGCTTATGAAGACCTGCTTGGATGGACAACTGCAGTGGTCACATGCGCAATTGTGAGGTTGTCTCCAATTCTAAATGTGCCTCTACGTCAAGTGCAATGGTCGGATGATAAAAGGAAGCTGTGGTCACTTTGCGAGAGGCGGGCTAGCAAACATTTCATGGCACACCAATAGCCCCTCAGGGCACACATGGAACCCCTTTGAGATGTTGACCTCAACCTCTAGTCTTACCAATCATTTGGTGAATCCTGGTCATCCAGGGACTAAAGGAAATACTGAAGCGCAAGCCAACTCGGGTCCACAATCATCGGCCTCCGCGTCAAAAGATGGGCCTACCTCCAATTGACAGGTTTGCTTTCGGTTGCGTTTCAACCAAATCCCAAGGCTAGGTTCCGTGCTTCAAGATGGTCCCATATGGACGTGGCTCAAAGTGGGGCTAGGCAGGTTTCAGTCTATATTTCCATTTACCAGGGTTCCATTTTGGACCCCCATTTTTGGGTCCCACCCATACTTTACGAAGCGGATCCACAAGTCTCCTCTATCTGCTCGCTTGCATCTCGCCCCAGTCGGATTTCCGCAGGGAACATCCTGGCAAGCAGCACGTGCATCTCCCCATACATCTCAAAACATACGGAGTAGCACAGCAAAAGCGACAAACTTCGACGAATTGGGGACCACGCAAACAGCTGGAAAAGCAAACTGAGCAACTGGCAAATGCTGGATGCCTCCGTCGAGAAGATCCGCCCGATTTCGCCCACCGGCGCCGCGGGATTCCGCGGAAAGGAGAAAAAAATCACCTCAATCGGCTGGCGCCACGCGGAGTCCGTGGGAGGCTCGGGAGGTGCTCGAGGCCAATCGCCTGAGGGCAAGAGGCCGTTGCCCATCTTTGGCACAATCTTTAGGAAAATTCCACCCAAAAACATCCTTTCAGGCGAAAAGTGATGTTCCCCCCCCCCCGCCCCAAAAAAAAGGGAAACAACAAAGAGCACAAAACACAAATCAACCTTTAAAACGAAAGGTGAGGATCGCCGAAAGTTTTTTTTTGCGAGTGAATCCAGCGGGAGTCACAAACTAACTCCCTTGACGGAAGCTGAGGAAAGAGAACTGCCACTGATGCCAAACCCAAAGGTCCCGGTAGGGGAAGGGTGTTGTGAAAAGGATACGTACATCAGAACTGCCTTCAAGGTAGATTGAACTTCAACACGCTGGGTGATTCGCCTCGCGAACGTCGACGCTCCCTGACAGTGGATCTATGCGTGGGTCCCATGGTGGAAGCCATCCGCAAGCATGCAGATGGTAGTTTGCACCTTCTTACTGACAAGAGACGGAGCCTATGTATCACTTGCATGAGAAACGCAAACTTCAGCTCAATAGATCCCTTTACTTAAGTGAGCAATCTAAATACTTGGTAAGCTTGATTCTAACAACAGCTGGGCTTACGTCCCTGTAACAATAAGCAAAGATAAGCAAAGACTTCAAGTCCACGCAAATACGGACCAACTACCAAGTGGAAAAAGTCGGGCTCCACATCCAAATGGCTTGGATTGACTTTTCCTCTTCGCGCATGTCCGACCTTAGCCACTCTGATGGAAACCAATCATTGCATGGCGTTCCTGGTTGGTGAATGCAGCTCGGGACACAAATAGATCAATATATTTTATGGCCTGTACTTGTCGTGAGATCTCAAACATGGCTTCCTTTCGTCAATGGTCCTATTGCGGTTGCCAGCTAGTGTCACAACCAATCATCTCTGCTGCCGTCTGGGTTACTGCATGAGCTAGGGGCTCTTTTGGGCCCATGCTTCATTGAACGAGACCAAATGAAACCAAGCAGTTTCACAGGCGTGCTTGAATACACACACACACACCCGCGAACTGCGTGCCACTTTCTGTTCTACTCCCTGTCCAATCGAGGACAAAACATCTCTCACTCCTGCCTGCGAAATCAAAAAATGGTTCCGACACCAAAACCATCCACGATGCCTCGTGGTTTTGGCGGCGGCACGTCCTCCTGCAGGATTCAATATGGACAAAGCAGCCGAAACACATGAGTATATAGCACTCAAGCCAATTGTCGGTGGGGTTCTACCAATACGGAGAAGGAACCGCCCGGTGCCCCGATTTTGACATCCTCACAAATTACCAGCATAACTGCACGGAGAGTGTTCGAGGCTCCCTAACAAAAGGCATGGGCATCATGGCAGCGCATCCTCAATTCAAGTGAAATGAAACTGAGAGTCCTCAGACTATGATGACCTGTGGACTAAACTAGGACAAATTGGGAGTGTTTTCCAAAGGACATGGAAACAAGTGGGATGTCACCGCTGGTCTTTGGCTGTCTTTGCGGGAAATGTGCGTGCTTCCTCCATATCCTCCTGCTTCTCAGACAAAGATAGAGCCATACAGTAACACTGCAGCCCCCCCTCTCTATCATGACCAACATACTCATCAGCAGTGTGGCACCTATCAGCCATCGCGGGCAATCACGGCTCGGCAAGAGAGCCAAGATGCTAAGGGTGCAGTTTCCTGCCAAGTGTTTGGATTGTTGGTTTGGTGGCCGGGGGGTGGTTTCCGTTCTACCCGCTGCAAAACCAGGGGTCCAAATCCCCAAGCCGCCAATCCAAACCACCAATTAAGGTGTGTCTGAAAATTGCTCTCCATCCAAGAGGACATGACAAAATCGGGGCCTGCCAAAAGAAAGGGGAAGTAGTGGAGTGCCTAATTTTGCTTCGGATATCAATTGGCAACTTTTCGCGCAGGACGGGCAAGCACGCAAGCAAGCAAACAACCAAACAAACCAACATGAAGAAACACTCAGAAAAGCATGTTGTATTGAAAAAAGCAATTAACCGCCACCTCGACGACCTGGAAACTGAAAAACGCCACAAACAAGCAATCAAACAAACAAGCAAACTAGCAAACAAACAAGCAAAAAAGAAGAAAGCAAGCAAGCAAGCAAGCAAGCACGCACGCACGCACGCACGCACGCACGCACGCACGCAAGCAAGCAAGCAAGCAAGCAAATTCAAGCAACAAGCGAAACTGAAAAATACAGAAATCCTGTCCCAATCATACAGCCAAACACACACGCAGGCCAAGCCACAACCATGCAAGCAAACACCACCATCAATTCCAACAACCAAGCACACAGGCAAACAAACAAAATCAATCAAAAAAAAAAAAAAACAACCAAAAGGAAGGACGGAATAAAGGAAAGAAATAACGAAGAACAAAAAGGAACACAACAAATAAACACAAAAGAAAGAATCAAAAAACAAGTAAGCACGAAACACAACACAATACAACACAACACAACAGCAAGCACGGGCAGCATCATCATCATCATCATCATCATCATCATCATCATCATCATCATCATCATCATCATCATCATCATCATCATCATCATCATCGCCATCGCCATCGCCATCGTCATCCTCATCCTCATCCTCCTCATCATCATCATCATAGGCATCGTCATCATCAATACTTGACAACAACAGCAAGTACAACAAATACAAAAGCAACACCGGCCGCACACTGCCTGGACAATCAGCAATCAGAAAGAATGCGAAACAAACATCCAGTCGAGTTGCTCAAGGCTCCTGGGTCGTCTCGGTCTGCGTCTCCACCGTCGCTTTTACCGGTGGCTCCTCACCTGTCAAAACACAGGACAGCTTGCGTCCTATTCTGCTTCGTTCAGCTGGCAAAACAAAACGGGTGCCTTTGCAGGAAAAGAAGCGGGAGACGAGGCTAGCCATGATCCAATTTTTTGGGACACAGCTACGAAAGGAGCCCTTTCGGAACCCGGAACGATTGAAGATTGCTCTTGGCCAGAAAGACAACGGTTGAGACAAGCATTCACAAACACTAGTGAATCTCATTGGAATTCCCAAATCCATCTTAAAATAGAAGTGCGCCTTGTTCTTTGCCTGCTGCTAGCTTCGCGTTCGCCAATGAGCAGCTAACGATGTTGTTTGGCTCGAGGTCAAAACCACCCCGCGGGTGAAGGACTGTTGAAGGTCGGTGCAGCACCAAAACAAATCTGGGTGGTTTTTAGGTGACCTCCCAAAGTGCTGGTTGTCCATTTGGGGGTTCTTCAAATTCATCAAAATGCATGCCCTCAAAAAGACACACCCATCTGTTGGTGCTAGAAATCAGCCCGCAACACAGGCTGGAGTCAACAAGCCTTAGGACGCGATATGAATATTGATGTCCTTTCAATAAGCATACGGTTCGGGCAAAACAAATAGCAGTCAAGTAAGCAAAGGAGCAAACCGCAACACCACCTAAGCAAGTTACAAGTACTTTACAAGTACTTTATTATGATAATTGTCCTTGTGGTTTCCCTTGAACACTACCCAAAGAGCACCGTTTAAAGCAACAACAAAAAAAACTGTCGCGACCTCATCGCGAGGTTTTCGTAGAGGGCAACGCCAAGACCAAAAGGTGTTCTTCTTCGTATGGGTGTGACTCTTGTTTGATCTTTGCTTGGTTGCTTTTAAGGAAAACCACGGGGAACACCACCATTACAAAGGGGAGGTAAAACACACACACGCCCATATCTGAATAAAATGACTTTTCGGACGACTCCCATATTAGGTGCGGGCGCGCCTGGCTCCCAAAGAATCGGCTCCAGCATCAGCTCTCCTGAAAGTTGATTGGTCAATCCCAGCGTCAGAAGGTGAACTGTTTTGTCCGGAGGGGGATGGACAAAGGGCAAAACAAGCAACATGCCCTGGATGCTGAAGGGGGTGAGTCTCGACAACAAAAAAAACGCAAGGCACGTGCGCGCTTGTTTGTTTGTTTTGTTCTTCGGGGCAAATGCTCACAAATCGTGATCACTCAGAAGACGAACTCATAAACAGCAACAGTAGCTCTAGCGCCGAAACTCGAAGCAGGTTCGCGGCTTATGCACAAGCAAGCCTCAAAGGGACAAACGCTTGGCAAAGTGCCGTGACTTCAAACAATTGGAGGACCGTGCTCAAGGGCCTGTGGATGATTCTCTCACACAAAGGGAACCACCCCTCATTTGCTTGTGGCGGCTTATCCATCTGAAGTGGTGCTCAACAAATAGATTCAGATTCACCCCATCGGCAAGTACTTAGGTTAAACCCAAGCTGACACATTGTACTTTCCTCGTACACAGGTGGAATACATCGTTTCTTTTAAAGGAGTTCTGCAAACATATATTGGCTAATTAGCATCAGGCCAACCCCAAACGAGTCCTAAGCTTAGGAACGGTAAACGTCGCAGATGCTCCGAAAGCCATTGCTTTTAAGGAAATCTCCTTTTGGGGGACCACCTCTTTGGGCTCCATGCTGGGGAGTAAGGTTTAAGTTGGGACCATTCCGCCCAGACCCCCAGTCGTCATGGGAAAAAAACACTCTCTTTTTGTTGGGTACTCCCCTACAAATTAATATGGTACCCGAACAAGGGGTCCTCAAAGAGGAGATTCCCCTAAAACCGACAAGTTTTCGTTTTTTTGTCCGTTCTAATTCAGGGGAGTAGTTGGCTGCTGACGGGAAACCCCTCCAAAAACACCACCACCGGATGTCTGGGATCTCCGTCAGACGCGAGCCTGTGGGCTGGTGCCTGCCGCAGTAGACACGCAGGTAGCAGGAGAGCCTTGGGCGAAACGAGTTGCTCTAAGACGGGGGTTCCGGGATATATCCAGAAAACCACCGGGTTCACAAAAGGGGGCTGGACGTTCTTGACCAGGTGCTTTGGGTAAAATAGATGGGTTTCCCGGCTAAATGGATGGCACAAAACCACTCTAATTAATCTAAACTCGTGCTATTTATTTCTATCCAAACTCGCCTAAACAGGACACCTATGTTCCTGACCGGCCCAAATGCATCCTTTCGCAAAATCATATGTTTGGAGCAGCATCCCACAGGTATGTGCCAGAAAACCACTTGCATATGGGTCAAAATTAACCAGGCCATGGACCGCGGGAATTCGTCCTTTTTTAGTCCGTTTGTCAGGAAAGCCTTGGGAACCAACTTTTTGACCCACACCCAAACACACATGATGCCACAGGTCAGACCGGAGCTCATAGGCGGGACCCAAAAAATCAAAATGTGTTCCTTTCGGTTTCCTCTCAAATGCCAACCAGGCCATGTCCATGCTAACACACGGAGCCCGTGGTGCTTCCAGCCTGAGCACGCCGCTGTAATGCAGGCATGGACGCGTGCACGCCCGTCATCCTGCAAGCAAACTGAGACAAAGGAACAAGGGCACACTTGAGTGGATTGGCCAGACAAAGCTGCATAACTCTATCAATAGCCACTATTATATTATGATCATAGTGTTCCCAACAAATACAAAGCAAAACAATGCAGAAATCAAGGCATGTATCAGGCTTTGGAGTGAACTCTTCAGGCAGCTTGAATTCCGAACCGCGAGTCTTCAGAGGTGGCAGAGTCAGGCAAGATATTCAAGGGGACATAGAGCAGACTTTTGAGCATACCGCCGCACCAAGTTGCAATTGCCACTTGGGCCAGCGGGAAATAGACATACGCGCGCAAACGCCGTGCGAAGCTTACATTGCACCAAGGAGAGAGGGCACCTCTCTGCTGATATGTGGTTCCAGCATCTTCACCCTTTCGCCACGGAAAACCGCCTGTTTTTTAGGGAAGAGGTCCCCATTTGGATGCAAAGCCATGGTGAGCCGCGGCTTGCAACGATCAATCAGTTGATCCCAAAGTAAGTTGATCCCAAGGAACGGGATCGCCATATGGCTGGCTGATCTCCAGCCCAGTTGACATCGCTTGATGAACCCTTCATCCTCATACCCAGGCCCCACAGCATGGATTGAAGGGGTATGTCAAGCTTCCTCGGTTGACTGCCAAAGGCTAAAGGGTACTTCAAACAGCTACTTAACTTTCTGTAGAACATCCAAACAGTGAGTAAGATCAAACGATATGGCTCTAGGTAACTTATAATTCGCCATTCCAACATGAGGGTTCCTTTAAATTTGAAAGGACACCTTATCAAGGCTCTCGTGCACCGACACTTGAGTTCGCTATGCAGCGGTCGCGCTGCTTTTGCGCAGATCTTGCCGGAGCCAACGCAGCGCGTTTGCACTGCCATTCCAGCAGGGTGGGGTAAAATCGAGTGATGCGCACACTTTTAGAACAGTTTCTCAGTTGCCCAAAGGACCCAGACATAGCAGGTTAACCTTTTCGGCCGACTAAAATTGACAAGAGGTCGTCGGCATTGGGCAAGTCAGGCTGTCACCCGGTTAGCCCAACCCTGATTCCCAGCCGTCCTGAACTCGGTTCGGGCCAGCGAACGCAACGTCACACAAATCCCTTCACCGGAGGAACGCCTAATTCCACTACTGCCATGTTAATGAAACTGCCATGATCTATATATATATATACCGTTCAGTTGAATGAAACTAGTTCCATGAACAGTTCCACCTGCCTCCACCACTTTGCGTAGCTTCGTAATTCTGGCTCTTCAGAGTGGCCCCTGGGCCCTCTGCGCATGGCCGCACGCAAATCCGCAATTCTTTGCCGCAGAAAAGCGCAGGCGCCCGCGCCGTCCCTGGGCCTCTCGAGACAGGTCCCAAGCGGAATTCCGGCATCGGCCCCTGACCGAATTCTTGCTGAACCTCGTCTTGACCCAGATACAGATCCTCTCATGCTGATTTTGCTGATTCCATTAACTGGTTCGCGGAAGGGGCTCACTGTGCCCAAATGAGCAGCGACCAACACCCGTTGACTTGTAGGTCCACCAGTTTATCAAGTTTCATATATGCCTTTCAATTTCATTCCAATTCAACCAGGTACTGAAACGCGCCCTGCTTCTACCCGCCATGAGGGATGTTGGGCGCTGGTCAGGCACCTGGCTTGAACAACATCTTTCCAGGGGCAGATGTAAGATCTGCATGCAGGTTGGCATTTGCCACGCGAGGGTCTGACTCTGAGCCACAGCTTCAAGCAACTGCGTGTCTGTCTCAAAGTACAGACAGGACCCCCCTTGTTGGATGGTCTTAGATGGAATCCAAAAAGAAACCAATCGCCTAGAAAACCTCGAGATTTTGATAAACACCCATATTATTGTCTATGCCTCTGTGCAAGTTGCAACTGCCTCTGATCACGTGGAAGATTCTGACAAGGTTGAAGATGCATCAACACTCAACAAGCCGTGGAAAGTTCAGCTCAGGTTGTGTCAGACACACGCCTTCTACTTCTACCTCTCAGACTCGTACTGGGACGCCTCGATCAAAGGCCGATTGTACGGACCCACTCATGGGCATGCTTAGCTACTTTGGTAGCAGGTTACCTAAAAGGCATAATCGATGGCAAATGAGGCAATCAATTAGGTGGCATACCACGGCTTCATACCATGACAATGACAATGACATGGGTACATTTCACTTGGCTTTTGTGAGACTGGTTCCGCGTGGCTCAAGGTTGGCGTCACCCCAAGTGCCCCCTCCCTACATTGCTTTACACTCACGCGCCTCTGGTGTTTTACCAATGCTGTATGTGTGAGTGCCAAAACCGTACTTCTGGAAAACACGTTCCAGAAGAAAGTGAGGGTTCTTCGGGTTTCGCTTCACATCGCTTTACAGTGTGTCCACGCCACTGGTCATGCATCGAACTTGCGGAAGGTACCAGCAAGCTCGTTCAAAATGTCGTGGCTTACTGCTTGGACAAAGCGCTTGAAGGTGTGGGCATCGCTCATGGCTGCGGATCGATGAACAAGGTCCGGATGGAGGTACTCGGGCCAATGAAATGGACAAATCGCTGCGTTCTGGTTCTACTTTGAGCTTCGGTTCCCTGCCCAAAGCGTTGCGGTGTTCTCCTTTTTGGGGTTGCCCTATCTCGTTTCCCGTGGTTGTGCAAGTTACGCATGCAACTCTGGAGGCCATTTCTGGAGTCCCAAAAGGCAGAAAAAGGGACATCCATTGTTTCACTTGAATCCACCCCCAGCCAAATACAGACGGGAGAAACTCAACTTGCCACCTGGGTCGCCGGATTTCTGTGGCTGGCTCACTTCTTGCGAAGCCCCGGGAGGACCGAAAAGCCCCGTCGATCACTGTGCCCTGTTTTGGGGGTTGGGGAGGGGGGACCGCCTTTGGATGATTCGAAGGGGAACGAAAAGGACAACCGTTTGGGTCTGCCCTTTTTTAGGGTACCCCAACAAAGAGTTGGTTGCAAAGGCAGCCAAAAGGAAACTTTCCATTTTGGGGCTTCTTAGGTGACATCTTGGAAAATAGCTGGGTTTCCCTGGTAAATGGATGGCATACAACCAATCTACACCAGTGGAGTGGAACCCCTCCATTCAAACTAAACCTTAAAAAGGACGTACCTCTGTGGGGCTTCCTCAGACATATTCTCAGAGGCCCGGCCCAAGCTGAGAAGAACGATCTGGGATCCAGGCTGCGGGAACTCGAACGCGGAACCTGAGCGCTCGAAGCCTGAGACGTTTGGCTCTGCTAACATTCCTCAGTGCATGGGACAAAAAAAAGCCCCTAACTTGTTGTGTTTGCCATTAGACTGGTCTCCCCCCCAAAATAAATAAATAAAAACGAATCCGGCAACTCAGGGAGTGAGCTTGTGGGTTTATCATGCTATCGGACTACCAACATGGTATAAGGTCTGCCAACACGGTTGTGGCTGTGGTTCTACCAACGTTGCAAAGACTTGTATAGGCCTTATAACCCCCATGAAACCAGACAGAAGCAACGGATCTAGTTTGCCAGCCTTTTTGGCAATGGCCCGGCGTCCACTGTTCACTTTCATGATTCAGTAAAGATTATCACAGCCAATGCTGGAGAGACGGCGGAAATCCGGGAGCACTTCCTCAAGGCCCATGACCCCCACAGTAGCACACATCTTATATGCAATCTGACGGGTGCATCATATATAGCGGTTGTATTGAAAAAGGTAGTAGTTTGGGGGTAGCGGAAACTCTCTTAGCTGCAAACAAAGAGCTCAAACAAAGGACAACCGAACAAAGGACAACCGAAACAACCCCAAAGGCCAACTTTGGGTTCGGAAATCCTTCAGCAACTAAGGTCCCCTCAAGCATGAAACAAGCAACGCCGCTTGTAAACTACATGCTGCCTAGTGGATCCATTCATCACAAGTCTGAATCGATTTCCCACACGAGAGCCGCAGATTCTCAAAAAAACACTGTGGCTATGATATGTGCACCTATAGTTGTGAAGACGTTATACATATTGTTTTACTGTGCATGCATACAGATATACGCCTTGGGTATGTCTTCTTTTGATTGTACCTCATGGTTGTTTCTTCAAGGGAAAAAGGACACCGGTTGCATGTTGGGGGTCCAACCTCAACAAAGACAGCCGTGTATTATCTGCAAGTTGTACAATACTTCCAAAACCAACAAGGAATCCGCAAGCAAAAGGACCTACATCATGGTGAGCCCTTCCCCCCCCCTTCCCCCATCTCAAAATAGGGGAACCCTCCAAACAGGAGGCTTCCTTATAATTTCCCGCAACCCGCAAGGCCTGCCCTCAAAAAAGACACCTATGCTGAGCTCGCTTTAAGCTTGGAAGACACGGAAAAACCCAGAGCCGACGTCCGGAGACCTCGGGGCGCGGCTGGGAGTAGTACTGAGAAGGACCAGACCTGAGCGGGTGTCGTGTGTTGGAGGGAAGCCAGGAACGGCTTCCCAGGAACAAAGGGAAACATCCCCAAGGGCGTGGGAAAAAGGAAGCAAACAAAAAGCAAACAAACAAAGAAACAAAGAAACAAACCCACAAGCAAACAAGAAGACAATAAAATAAACAAACCTGCCATGTTGAAATGTGCAAATCAAACACGTTAGAAGAAAGGCAACTGGGGAGCCTTGTTTGGATTCAACATAGCCACCAAATCAACCGAGGAGCCTTGAGGTTGGGAAGTTTCGTCGTAGCGAATCGGTGAAGCAAATGAATGGAACGCACGCGGGCAGGCTGCTGGATGAAACACCTCAGCATAGGCCGATGGCCCAAAACGCAGCGATGAGACTGCACCAGGAAGCCGAAGCAACCCTTGCCTGTGATATGTTCAGAGCAACCACGCCAGAGAGTTTTCGAACCCGGTCTTGCATCCCTCCAGCCCACCGTTTGGGACATTGTTCAGCTTACGTTCGGCTCGCACGAGGCAACCATCAAGCTGCATGGGAGTCACCAAAAGCAGAAATGGTGTCAAAGCAAAATAAACATGGGGGTGTCTTTTGCC